TGCCGTGCGGTCAGTCGCGAAACGTAATTACATTATAGCTGGCGTAGCGTGTATGCAACCGATCTAACACACGGAGCTAGAGCTAGTTTTGGTCGGAAAAACATTTTTGTGATGCTACGTTGCTAACGTTTAAATATATCAACTACAATGTTAGCAGATGGCCTTACATGTTTGTCATGGCAGGAGAATGTCTGCAGTCACACACACGGAATACTCATACAGTATACTGTACTGTGATTTACCGTACATTGTGACAGTACATATACTGCATGTAGCTAACGAGGCTAGCTGTATGCTAGCGCAAAACAATGTATTCATGCAAGTTACATTGTATGGTAGCAGAATACCCGTATACGATTGCAATTATAAACACGTTATTGCTAGCCTAATATGAACCACTAGCTTTTGTTCATAGTAGTTTTATTACACTGCATTATAGTTGTCGTTCCTCCAAGCGAACGTTCATATCGTGTTAGCTACCAAGGTAAACAAAGCTAGGTTAGCATATTAGCAGGCAAGCTGTTCATTACACTCCTACAACTACTACTAACGAATCTAAAACAACTAAGTTTCTCTAATATTTTGTGATTTGCATTTGATTTCGTCCAGCCAGATCCTGGCGGACAATCCATGACGGGGACGGGACTTCTACTACTACTGAGGCCTCGTGCTAAAAGGCACCGCACCGACTGTGCGCAGGCAAGATGCGAGGAGGAATGGATGATATACCGTGTGTGTATATGTATATTTATGTTCATTTTGTACATTTCTAAAAATAAAGTTTAATGGAAATACTTAGTAGGCCTATCCTTTCTTCCCTGAATTCATATATAGCAAACCATGATTTGATTTCTCATCAAACAGTAGTAGTTTATAACGGGTACAAATAACTTACTCTTTGTTATGAGCGGCTCGTAGGCCACAACGGAAAGACAAGGAGACATACACGAGTTTACAAAACCACGGCACATTTATTGTGGTAAATGCAGAGATAGGTGGTTGAGAGGATCGCAGAGTTAGTCTTCCTGCAGCCGCTTTGGAGAGAGACTGGGGCCGTAGTGTCCGGAGGTGTCCGTGATCGTGCTGATTAGCCTCTTCAGCTCCACCCCATCGTAAGACAAAGGCCCTGGGGCCGTCACACTCTTCTATAACAACAGTTAAAAATATATATGTATATAAAATATACAGCTGTACCGACGCCATGATAAGACTGATGTTACGCTGAGAGCAGCCGGGAAAAGCACTGTTAGACATGGGCGCAGCCTCTCTGGTGGTTGACTAATCAGAACGAGTGGCCGAGCTGACCAATCGGAGCACACTAGGCTCACAGGGAGGGGGGGGCAAGAGCTCCAACGAGTCGTTTAGTGGAGAAAGTGAATACTGCTGAATACACATGCTTGACAGAGATGCTGTATGCGAAACCAATGTGAGTTTGGAAAATTGCACAGTATAAATCTATTTTAGTATACCTCAACAATGTAATTATGATCAGTGGAAATGGCCATGACATGGGCCCTTTAAGAGGTTAAACTTCTATTATTTGTTCATTTCTTGCCAACCAGGTTGTTTCTGTTTTTAAAGTGGAATTTCCTCCACACAAACTAACAAAGACATTTGAGACAGGACTAAGACTAAATTAAAACCATCAAAACCTTAAAAACATATTTATTTTAAGTAATTAAACTAGGAGGAGGAGGAGGAGGAGGAGCAGAAAACCTGGTCTAAATGTGTCTGATCTCCATCATCTATAGAAAATGGCTGACCTACCTTTAAGGTAAATCATGCCGTTTGAAAGACAGAGGTAGATGGACACGGCTAACAACATTTCTAACGTGAACAAGCATGATCTACCTCAGTGACCACCAACTGGCGGCCCGCGGGCCACATCCGGCCCGCCAGACATTCTCATCCGGCCCGCACGACGGGGGTGACTGTGGCGTTGGCGGAGTGGTTACTGCGTTCGCCCCCCACCCATTTTTTTGCGGGACAGTAGACTTTGAAACCTTCCCTGCCTTGAAGAACAAGTGATCCTTCGTTGTGAAGAGTCTGCTTTGTGCGCTCCGCACCACAGCAGTAGCCCCGCTGCGACAGAGTCCAACAGAGAGGCAGGAGCTGCGGGACAGTAGCCTAGAAGCAGGGTTGGGTTGTAACGGAATACATGTAACGGCGTTACGTAATCAGAATACAAAAATCAAGTAGGCTAACTGTATTCAGCTGGCGTTACATTTAAGGCTGTGCATCTTCACTGGTCTCACGATTCGATTCAATTCGATATCCTGATGCATCACGATTCATCACGATTCATACCAATGCGTTGCATCCTCAATTTTCTATATTACTGCACATGGCTTATTTTTCATCAATGCATACATGCAGTAAATACATATGAACTCTCTTTTTATTATTTAGAAAGTGCTTCAGAAATCAATAACATAAATGTCTTGACATTAATTTATAAACCAAAATAAATTAATTGTATAGGTCTAGCCTCCCTATATCTGTGTGTGAAGTTGTTCCATCCTCAAAAACAAAAAACGAATGCTTCTGCCGTCTAGCTGCAGCTTCTAGCAACGGTCTTCTGTTAAAGAAAGGACACTGAATGTCCTGAATGTGGCATCACACACAGGACTTGAGTCTGAACACAGCAGACAACAGGAGTATTTACAACAGCATATACAAACTAAAATAGTGCATGTGGGTGCACACTTACATTCTCTGTCTTACTGTTACATAAATCCCATGAATGTATGAGATTAAGTTAGCTTCATTATATCTCAATCAGTGATTAAGTGAATAATAAAGTTTCTATCGGGTCACTATCAGCCTGTCACTCATTATTTTCAGGGAGGGGGCGGGGCTTGGAGGAACGGAGAGGAGACGGTGATCGCGGAAGCTTTTTTCCTCCTGCCTTCACAAACTTTACACACGTATATATCGTCTGAAAATTGCTAGAGGACATTCATACTCTGCAATCCAAGACTTCATTAAATCCACCAAAAACCTGACATGATTGTAACGCGATTATTTTTGAAAAACATAAATCCTTGTGTCTCTGAGCTGCCGCGACACGGAGTGATTCAGAGCGGGTCCTTCTGCTGTTGGTTCTGGACTGGTGTTCTTGTGTTGGTGGATAAAGCAGGCTGCTCCGTGTTTGGTGTTGCTGTGCCGCTGTCACGTCTGTTCCCTGATCTCTGCGTCACCGACCGATTTAATATTAAAGTGACAGAAAAAAAAACGTTATAGTAAAGCCGCGGCCGGAAAATCAGGAAGCAACGTTACTACGCTATAATCGGTTATCTTCCGTCACTGCATCGATACCGAATCGTCCACGTCCGCATCGCAATGCATCGTAGAAATGATTATTTTCAACACTCCTAGTTACATTTGAAAAACGAGTAATCTGATTACAGTTACTTTCGTAAACCTGAAGTGAATACATTTTGGATTACTTATTGCAATTATTGGTGGAAAAGTTTCCTCACAAAATGTAATATTCATTACCGGCAGAACTGTGTGCACACTGCACAGCGCTGCAGCATGTCTGTGAGCGAGAGAGAGATGCAGCGTGTCTGTGAGCGAGAGAGAGATGCAGCGTGTCTGTGAGGCCCCGCCCTCGCACGCAGATCAGAGAGATCTCTTTTAAAATATATTGAAAGTTAGAAACGGAGATGGTTCGATAAAATGTGCAAGATAACGTTTATGTAGCATTTCTTTATTGTCTAAATGATGACATTTCATAACGGGATCAAATCAAAGTGAATGGCCTGCTGCTGCTGAATGCATGGGGCAAGTGACTGGAAAACGTTTTAAAAGTTATTACATCGTTTCAGATAATAAATAATAATGATAATTCATTCTATTTAGGGGCGCCTTTCAAAGCACCCAAGGACACCTGACAATTCATAACATATTCTAAGGAAAGGTTTAAGAGAGTACAAATAATGCAGTCCGGGTGATGTTTTTTATGTGGGGTGCAGATGAGAGGGAGCTGTCCAGAATGACACCAAGATGTTGTGTTTGAGTTGTGCTCTTGATAAGCCATTAAAACAGTGAAATAAGTGTCTCCTGTTCACCAAAACATACCCATCTGTTATGGAAAAATAAAGTATTCCAAAAGTATTCTAAAAGTAATCTGAATACGTTTTTTAAGACACGTAACTGTAACTGTATTCTGATTACTTTCAGAGCCATGTATTCAGTATTTAGTAACCGATTACATTTACAAAGTAACCCTCCCAACCCTGCCTAGAAGTGATCCTTCGTTAGCGTGAAGAGTCTGCTAACGAAGAGTCGTCCCCCCCGGTCCACAAATTCAAAATTCTGGGCTATATAAAAATCACTGGCCCGCGATAGTGTCTATTGGATACATTTTGGCCCTTGGACAAATGTAGTTGGTGATCCCTGATCTACATGATGGACATATTCCCCCTGCTGTTTAGACACTCAGTTAAGGTATCGAGAAAGAACGGGTTGAGAAACTTCATAATGCTTTAAAGTCTGATAAGTATTATCTAAAGGGAAATGTGCATCGGTTAAAAAACATATTTCTTTTAAATAATTAAACTAGATTTTTTATCCAATATTCCTGTTTCTAATGCAGTCATTAACTATGAGCTAGAACACAGGCATTACCTTCACGATAAGGTTTGTTCAGCTAGTTTCAATGTTGAATATTGATGTGATGCTGAAACTAACAGCACTTTGCCATGAATGGAGTTATGGCAGGCTTCCTTTTTTTATTACAACATTGTTTTTTAGTGAAGGTGGCGCTGATAGCACAGCACTGTGTTTCACCTTTTTTATTTGTGTTATTCAAATCAAAATGTCATGAGGTTTATAACCAAAGACTAAATGCTTTGAATCACAGAAACCAGTGTTTTATTTCTCAGAAATGTAACTAACTAATCTCTTTGAACAAAATGTCTGGATGTCCAGAATGAACCCGGTTAGCCTGTCAAACAGCTGGATCTGACATGAACATGAAAAGGTCTTCATCTCACCTCTCGTTTTGTGACTCAGCTCCACTCATGGTGAAAGGGATGGTCAAGAAACTACAGAATAAAATACAAAGACAAATCTTGTAAGTCAAATTAAAATTGTATTGAAGAAGTATTCAGATTCCTTTTTGAATACATAATTGTATTTAAATAGACCCTGAATAAGCCTTTTAAGTCTTTGGCCTCACATTGCATATTCCTCTATTACATGTTTTTTATTGTGAACATTATTTCTTTATATGCTACTAATAAAAAATATAAATCAATGACATAGCACCAAAATATACAGATTAAAATCCAGCCTTTGAATGTAAACTGGACTTGTATTATTTAAAGAGGGAATTACAAGTTGATTAATAAATTACTTGTTATATTCCATTTCCTAATTCTTGTTTTTTTAAAGACCAAATCTTCTTTTTGAAAGTCAAAATTGAATGTAAAAGTATTCCTGTTTAATAATGTAGAAAAACAACTCATTCAGGTTTCCCTAATAACAATCAGGAGAAGTAAATACCTGGGAGGGATGATGGATCCATGGTCAGGGGACCAGAAGTCCTCCCTATAAAAGGAGAAGAAATAATGACAGAAGTTAATTTATTCATACAATTCTTCACCTTTCTTTGTTAAACGTAAAGAACTTGAATACAAAATGCAAGTAGATGTACTGCCATTAAAATATGTATATTTGACTCCGTGTTAAATACTCATTATGTAGAATGATTTCATGTCAGAACAATGTGTATTTCACAATTTGATTTACTTAAAGGTGGGGTAGGTAAGTTTGAGAAACCGGCTCGAGATACACTTTTTGTTATATTCCATGGAATGCTCTTAACATCCTGATAGCAATGAATATCTTAAGTGCTTTGACAAAAAATCCATTAGAAAAATTCTAGCGCACTCGAGCTGGTTTCTCCAAAATTACCTACCCCACCTTTAATGACCTTTAATCATGTTTAATATAGTAGCTGTTGAAAATACATCTAATTTCAGCTCATTTATGTACTGTTTTTTATTAATTAATTGTTTTGTATCATAATGTATTTTTTGTTGATTAATCGTAATATCATTAAATAAGTAAAGTGGATTAAATGTTCATTAATTCCCCCTAAATGTAGGGCAGTAAACCTATGAAGTAGCAGAAAATAGTTAAATGCTTTAAAATTGTCCTGAATTACATTACATTTGTGTATTTCTTGTTAACTTAAATAATGTTTGATTAAATATGACAAGAGAGTTTCCTGTAATCGGAAATAACACATTAGTAAGATCTCCTTATATAACAAAATGTCCGACAAAGATAAACAACATTTTTTATAATAACAGTATTAACTTTAATTCAGCTTCGGTTGTGGTAACAATGTACAGCAACACAAAAACATCGCGACCAACCGTCACATTAACGGTTTACAAAGCCCTTAAAAAAAGTGTTCTAGAACAATGAGGAAGTTTGTGCTAAGCTAACTGAGGCCAAGCTAGCATACACGGTTAAAGACATTTATAAACTAGATAGCATTCGTGGTAACGTTACAGCATGAGTAGTATTACATATATACATATTTCATATGTACTGAGACTGAATCAAAGTGTTCAATAATATACGTTTATATGTCGATGGGTTTAATCCGCAGTTCATCTTACCTTTACTGCGCAGCAGTTATTTGCTGAAGTGAAAGTGAAACTTAACATGAATCCAGACATAACAAGGAGATGTGACATCAGTTGGAGGTTGGTTGTAGAGCAAACACACGGATTACAGGGAGTCAGACATTAATAACATGTGTTTCTGAAATCAATCTCTTATTAAAACCTCACTGTAAGAATATTAGTCTTCTTATGAACCATTCAGGCGGATATACTTGATTTTCAGGCCGGTATAAAGTAACAAAAACAGGGGTTATTTGACACGAGAGATCTCAAAACTCTCCCGCCTGGTAACGCCCAAGTACTCTGCTGTGATTGGCCTCTTCCACCTGGTCCCGCCCAGTACTCTGCTGTGTTTGGCTCGTTGCGTCTATGCGCTGTTTTGATTGGATGCTTTTTTTTTTACCAGCGTTGGGTGCAGATATAATGGCGCATTTCCATTGCAGCGCGTAGCTCGCTTTAAGCGTGCCGTGTCGTGCCGTCCCCTTTTTTGGTTGTGCTTCCACTAGGCCTCGTTCCGGCGCGGCACGGCGCGGGGCCACTTTTTCCCCTCTTTTCTGGCCCTAGAAAATTGTGGTTCTATCGGGGCCAACAAACAGGGCTGAGTCGGGCTGAGTATGCTAAGCTAGAGAGAGGAGCGCTGGCAAGAGGGCTAGAACTACAACAAGATGGACATATTTGACCGTGATTTAATTGTAATACACGTTTCAAAATGATGCCGAAGTAACAACATACTGATACCGGTTAGTAAAAACCATGAATTAATGCTTTGTCAAGTCTGCAGACAGACGGCAGGCGAAAAACCTTTTAAAATTCGTGTTTTTCTAGATGGAGATTGGCTAAGCTAACGCAGTATATGCCCCGACCGTCCACACTCACAACAACGGCCTATACAGACATAAATAAAGCAGCGACTGTATTCTCTATGACACAGGCAGTCTGTGGTGTGTACTTGTTTAACTTTTGTCGAGTTTATGAACATATATAAGGAGCTGTGAGCTCTGAGTGCTCACAGCTAACGGCTGTGTTGTGTTTCTGGATTTCTCACTGAAGATGACGTCACGGCTCCGCCTACACTGCGTTACTATAGTAACTACCCCAGTTCCTAAACTGTAATGGAAGCGCAGCATGAAGTGAGTCGGCCCTGTTAAGGCCCAACGCGGCCAAGCCGTACCGAGCCGTACCGAGTGTGGCCGAGGCCGACCGTGTAGTGGAAATGCGCCATTAGAGGCTTGTTTGAGACGAGCTGCGGCTCGCCTCAAAAGTAGACGAGAATAGCCAATTGCAGCCGGGGGAGGTCTCAAAAAGCTCGCCTGAAGTCGGACAGCTCGGAGTCGGCTTCTTTTTCTTCTCTCGGTTTTTGGCGGATTGCAAACAACTTTAAGGTGCATACCGCCACCTACTGTACAAGAGTGTGTATCACCATATCATCCTATCACCACTTGTGGAATTATACCATGTATTTACGTTGTTTTAAATTATTCCAATCAATCCTGTTTCATTCAAATATTTACCAGGCCTTCCTGGTAACTCTTACCCCCTCACCTTCTGTCCCCAGTGTCCCCATCAGGCTCCACTCCCTTCCTGCCTTTCTGACCCTGTCTCTTAGTTTTTCCCTCTCTGTTTTGTACATGTTGCAGTGTAATACGATGTGTTCCACATTTTCTTTCACTCCACACCCCCTGCATTCTTCAACTTCGCTTTTTACCATTATACACATTGTGCCGTTTAATCCTGTATGATCCAATCTGAGTTACGGCCCCTACACACGGCGGCGTGCGGTGACTCTTCAACGCTTCTGCCCATTCACTTTGAATGGGGTGACGTCACGATTCGCCGAACTGCATTCTGGGAGCAAAGCGTAGCTTTCCTCGCGGTGCTCGCTGCAAAAGTAGAGAATGTTCTACTTTTGAAGCTGAGGCGGAGGCGGCAGCCAATCAAATCCCGCGTATGCAAATCTGACAGTTCACGCGCTAGCCAATCAAACCGCGTGTATGCTGGCAGAGCCAGACCGCAGTTCATTTCCTCATATGCCAAAAAATTGAGGAGAAAATAATCGTAGCGGTAGGGAATCACCCGGTGCTTTCAGTCCCTGTTCACCTACCGGGATACAAACCGGAGGAGCCAGGCATGGAGGGAGGTGGCAGAGACAGTGGGTGAAACTGGTAGGTTTTCGCCTGTTTGGGGAGTTTATATCCAGTGTACTTCGTTTGAATGGACAGCAGGCATAGACAGTATATTTAGCCACCATGCAATGTTGCATAAAATAGCACCATAGACATGAATTAAAAATCGCTTTTTAGATATTAATGTCTATGGTGAGATTCATACACGGGAGCCTTTTTAAAGCCTTTTTACCCCGCTGCAAACAGAACCCCCCCCCCCTTCCCATCACAAACTTTACACAGATCCCCCCTTCCAATTATCAACTCATGTCTTGTTTCCGCAAACTCTTGTGTCCTGCAGCAGCTAAACGTTTTGCAAGCCCCCGTTCGTTTAGTACCTAAAATAATAGACATCGCTTTTTCCAGCTGACAAACCCGACTTTCTGGTCACTTCTTCAATTTTCCAGCCCTTGGGGAGAGACACGGGAGATTCATGTGATTGGTTGTTGCTCGCGTTGCTCGCGTAAACTCCCCAAGCTCAAGACACGCCCACCGCCAAGCGGAAACGCACGCCGCCGTGTGTAGGCTGCGTTACGGGCCGTCTCCACGGCAGCGTTAAAAAATCTTGAAACGCTTCTGCCCATTCACTTTGAATGGGGTGACGTCACTTTTTTTCGCTTTCGCCGAAATGCATTGTGGGCAGGCGAGCGGAGATTCTCAGGATTTTCAAGATCCAAAGTTGAACAATGTTCAACTTTTGAAGCTGAGGAGGAAGCGTCAGCCAATCAAATGCCGTGTACGCAAATCTGACAGTTCAAGCTCTAGCCAATCAAACGGCGTGTATGCTGGGAGAGATATCCCGCAGATCATTTCCTCATATTCCAAAAAATGGAGGAGAAATTAGCGGTAGCGAATCAATCACCCGGTGCTTTATGACCAGACCTACCGGGATATAAACCGGAGGAGCCAGGCATGGAGGGAGGTGGCAGAGACAGTGGTATGTTTTCGCCTGTTTTGGGGAGTTTATATCCAGTTTACTTCGGGCTTTTTGGCTTCGTATGTCGCGGGCGGGAGATTCATGTGATTGGTTGATCGCAAAAAAATCCCCAAGCTTCAGATACGCCCACCTCCAAGATTTTTTTAACGCTGCCGTGGAGACGGCCCGTTATAGTGATGATGATCTCCTCCCGTCTGTTCCTTTCTGTATAGATCTTTGTTATGACTGATTTCTGTAACTTGTGGTATCTCCTCCCTTTCTGATCTTCCTCCCACCTTTTCTGCCATATTTCCATACCCTTCTTCTTAATTATTGCTTTTCCTTCTCCTTTTCCAAGTGAAACTGGTATTGCTATTTCCTTCTGTAATGCATCTTTTGCTAACTTATCAGCTCATTCCCTTGAACCCCCTCATGTGCAGGCACCCAGCATAACTGCACATCTATTCCCCTTCTCTGAAGTCTCAGTAAGCAGTGGTTAAGTTCAATAATGAAATCTTCTCTAACAGTTATTGTCGACTGTATGCTTTCCAAAGCAGATAGTGAGTCTGTGCATATCACCACCCTATCAGGTCTCTTCAACCTATTGTAGCCTAATAATTGCTGCGAGTATTTCTGCTGTATAAACTGATAAGTTATGTGACACTCGTTTTGAGATTGATATTTTGAATTCTGGTACACGCCTATCCCCACGCATTCTTGCTTCTTAGATCCATCTGTATACATTTTGAGGTAATTGTAATACTTTTCGTTCAGGTACATACTCGTTTTAATTCCCACTTCATTTATTTGCCACTCTTTTTTCCTTTCTATGAAACTCACATGTTAGCTTCTGGGGAAAGCCATGGGGGAACACGGCTAAATGGGCTTGCTTTGGCAAACGTGATGTTCTCCACTCCATATACCCTCGTTCTCTCCTTACTTGTCCAGCCAAACCCACGACCCTGGAACTTTGTATATTCCCAGCAATCCTGTAGTATTCTGATTGTGATATTTTCCTCTCCACTTCCTTGTAGCCTGACCCAGTATGACAGAGCAAGTTGCTCTCTTCTAACGAACGCACACATGTGTTTAATCATTAATGTCAGATATGTACTAAGTAAATACATTTGTTCCTGCTCAAGATTAGATTCAACTGTATTGTTATTGCAGATTACAGGTACTGAGACAACGGAATGCAGTTTAGCTTCTAACCAGGAGTGCAACAAGCAGCAAAGTGAAAAGTAATGTACACAATCTACAGAATAAAATATAGAATGAATTGAATGATGAATAAACAGTGAGGGGTATGAATACACTAGATATACAGCAGCCTGTGAGCAGAACAGTATGAACAGTGTGTATGAATATGCTAAAATATATAAAGTATGAAAACGGTAAGCAGTGCAAGTATAGTATAAAATAGATATTAATTTAATGATGATAAACATTGTGGAACAATGATGAAAAATGTGAATGGAAGTGGCGACGTAAAACTGACACAAAACAACAACACACTTTAGCCGAGCCAATGGAGAGTTTCATCACCAGCACGGGGTAAAACCCACCAATGAGCGCTCAGCTCCAGATACCAGCGAGTCGTTTCCCATCAAGCATTTCGCTTCCGCAGCCCGTGGAGAGAAACTGGACCGCCTCGCCGCGCCTCGCTCTCAAGTCTGCGGGCGTCTTTGTCCCGCGAGATTTCAACGTCTCATGTAGGCGAGCCTCCAGAGCAAGTCGGACAACATGACTAACCATCATGCAACGCACTAGCAAGACGTTGATCGCAATTGCGCAGGTCTGCGCAGGTCTTGCTTGTCTCAAACAAGCCTAACGACTTTGACACCAAGGTTGCGGTCGAATAGTCCATTTAGCTTAGGAACCTTCCTAACGGAGTGAAATGACCCGGAAGTCCCTCAGTGGCAGCCATGATAAGTGCCGTTCGAATTCTCTAAATGAAAAGAAAGGAGGTTTCAAACTTCCTTTATAACCTCCTTTAGCTTAGGAACCACTGGACCTCCCTAACCGAAAGGAGAGGAGAAAATGCTGCCCCACAATGCCTTGCGGCCGCGGCATTTGCCGTCACACAACAGTCGGCCGTTCACAGAAACAACCGATTATGAACGAGAAATGATATCATGAAAGTTATGGTGCTTATTAAGCATTTTAAAACGTATGTGGTAAGTTGCCAAAGTGCTTTGTTTTGAACGTTCATCAGTATTATAATCAAAAAGAGAAATATGAACGTTAGTTTTGACTGAAATGATTAAATAAAGTCAACATGTCACAGTCTTTACTGAGCTGTGTGGGGTTTGTTCAACTTTTAAAAGATGTTTGAATGGTGATATACACAGTGATAGATGTTAAGGACTAACGTTTATAATAAATACATTTGTATTGATTTTAAGATCTTTTCATACAATCATACGTATTGGGATCATTTGTATTAATGTGGACCGGAGGGAGAGGGTGACGAGCATAAGTTTCACTTTCCTTTTTTATTTCAATTCCAACTTTGGTCATGAAGAATATGTTTCTCTGTTGTCCCCGTTCATAAAGCATAACAGCATCAGAGCACGGTGCAGAGTCTCTAGATGAGTTTACAGTAGTCCCTCGTTCTTATTAAACATCCATGTTGTAGTCCGCTGTATAGAAAACTGTAGTTTCCATAGTTTCCCCACAGCAGCAGACGCACATTTATGACCTCCGCTGGCGCATCATAAACACGTCGGATAGTGAAAGTGCAGTCGATTCTCTAAAGTACCGCAGTCTCTTCTCCTAAATCCTTTTGAATTCTCCTATCCACTATCCCTTAACCCCATGACGTTTCACTCAGAGGTCAAGGAATAGACGATAGGGTTAGAATTTAGGAGCTGATTTTTGGAGTATTCGACCGCAACCCAATTGTTGCTCTCGATATATATATACAGTTTCACTTTTACTTGTGCCTGTGTAAAATATTCTAGTACTTTTCCATGATGTGTGAAGCCAGATGAAGCTGTGTGCTTAGGAATTCAGATGATAGACGAGACAGTTTTTCTTTTTCAAAATACAATACAATACAACTTTATTTGTAGTGCACTTTAAAACCTCCAGACCAAAGCGCTGTTCAGAGAAATAAAGAAACAAATGAAATACAGGAAATCACACAGCTCACCTCACGAGCCATAGAGAGTTGAAGTCCCTCCCTTTCCGGTGGACCTCCATGGGACCTTATTTCGGAAAAATAATGTATTGAAGTCAATGGAGAGAGAAAAGTTATCTTTCGATCCCGTTTGAATTGTGCCATGAATTACACATATGATGTTTGTCAATTTAAAAGATAATTTCAAAAATATGCAACTAGAAAGACTACAAATCCGGCCATCTTGGTGTTGGTGACGTGTGTTGTGTGAGACCAGAGATGTTCATTTAGCGGTTTCACACAAAAAAAGTGTTACTTCACAGTTTTACGACCTATTTTAAAATGTTTGACTTAAATTGACAAACATCATATGTGTAATGCGTGACACAATTCAAACGGGATCGAAAGATCATTTCTCTCTCGCCATTGACTTCAATACATACTTTTTCCAAAATAAGGTCCCATGGAGTTCCCCCGGAAAGGGAGGGACTTCTTCGCCTCTATAAAATAAGTAAAAATACAACAACAACAATAACAGCCTTATACTAAAAACAATAGACCATTTAAAAGCAATAAAAGCAACAGTGTCAGACGCTAAGGCGAAGATGAGGGTCTTCCTTTGTCGACTTGCAGATTGAAATCCAAAATAGAGACAATAAAGACAAGCAGAATGAAACACAAAGACTTTATTTTTATGAATACATTATTTAGCAGATTTTCAGCCTCGCCCCCGAATTACTAAATGACTATGAGAAACTCTGTTATGTATTCAATGTATTTAATCTATGTATTTACTTGAGTATAAGTACCAACAGTTAAAGTATATCAAATGTCAAAAGAGAACTAATAAAGGTATTCTGATTCTGATGGTTTATTCAACAGCCACACTTAATATTTTACAGTTCTTTAAATGTTTTGTGTGTTCATATTTAAATTCGTACAGTTTAGGATGTCAAATAAATGTAGCGCGGTAAAAACTACATGATTATCCTTTGAGATGAAGTGTATATAAATATAAAGTAAAAAGAAAATACTCAAGTAAAGTACAAGTACCTGAAATGTGCCTTTAAGTAAAACACTTGTCTAAATGTTGATGTACATGTCACCACTGATTATTGCATAAAACCCTAAAAACTGTAAAAACAATGTACAAATTTACACAAAAAATGACTAAATTCTTTTTTCAATCAACCCATTTATTGTTTGAGGTTTTATATATAATCTTTCATAGTTACATTTACCTTTAAAACAAGATATTTTACAAGTTATTCACATGTTTTGAGTGTCAAAATCAACATTTTAAAGTAATTTAGATGAATGTAGTGCAGTAAATACGTAATAAGTACAATTACATTAAGTTTGCTTAATTAAGCACATTACTCGAGTAAATGAACTTTCACCGCTGCTGATATTTAATGAATGTTATTTAAAAGCAGGCGCTCAGATGCAGAACAGAGAGATTATTTTACATGAAGTTTAGTTTCACACAGAAGGTCACGTCTCAAAGTGTTTGTATTTTAGTCTTCTTCTTTCGTGTAACGTCAGAGGTCCAACTCGGTGTCGTGTAGCCATGCCCGCATCTCTGGTCCTGAATCGAAGAGGCTGGCTTCAGAGGGTGGTCTATATAAAGGGCAGGTGGTGATTATGTGTTGTAAGTATTGTTTTTAATTGACTCAAATATTTGACAACACCTACGCCAAACCCAAGGGGCCTTAAAGCGTACATCTTCAACAAATATATAAAACAATGACTTTCTAAACTATTTAATAAATAAATAAACGTTTTAATATAAATTCTTTACATTTCCATAACAATATTTTTTATTAGCAGATCATCATCGCCTCAGTCATGTTTACCTTTTACAATAAAAGTGTTCCCTGCTTCTCACTCAGAGCAACTCCACAAACTGGCTTACACACACACACACACACACACACACACACACACACACACACACACACACACACACACACACACACACACACACACACACACACACACACACACACACACACACACACACACACACACACACACACACACACACTGGGATTGGAACTAAGCAATAGCATTAGTTGTATGTTCTACAAATACCATTTTTACAAAAAATACTATATTCTGATGTAACCCTTTTGTACCCCTCTATAACAGATGTAATAACTTGTATTTAGTTATTTAATTACAGCACTACATGGAGATAGTTACTCTAAATGTTTCATATTGATTCAAATAAAGAACCAAACTTGTGCTCTTATATTAAATATTCATGCACATGTCTAATCTAATCTAAAATGAAACTTCAGGAGACGTAATGAAATGTCTACCCTATAGCATATTTTAAAAACATTTATTTACATGTTTTTGAAACATATCTTCAGGAGAAACAAAATCAGCTACTTTGCATATTAACAACTTTCCCATAATCAGAGAAGCATAACTGTTTTTGTTTTTAAGAAAACTAAATATCTGTGGAGAGGATTTCTAATTAGGGTCAACACCTGATTTGCATCTTTCTGATAACTTTGAAAGATTTGAGTGATTTGACATCAAATGTATTTATAATGTAATTATACATTCATCCAAACCCCAAGAGGCCGTATGGAGCTTTGTTCAGAAGACGATAATAGAAGAAGCTGCTGTCTTTCAGTAGACCACATCAGTCTACTTGTTTTTATTTATTCACATGATATATGGTTACAAATGATTACACATGATAACAATGATTACATGATAAAGAAAAACAATCTGAACTAAACTGCTGAAACTCAAGTCTCTAAATAAAACCATAAATGCTTAATATCTAAAAAGGTAAAAATGCAAAGTAACTGAATGCAAATCTTAAAAACAGGAGACTTTTCTTTCAAATCTGTCGTCACTGACACCTGTTTCATATCCAACACATTCAAGGTGTGATCATCATCATACATGGTTAAAGAAACACCACAAACATCAGCATGTTATGCAAACATGATCAAATGATGAAGAAAAAAGATGAACTCAACTGACAACAATCAAGTCTCAAAATAAAGCAACTACTGATGAACATGTAAAAAGTAATAAATGCAAACTGCTGAAATGCAACTCATAAACAAACTAAAATGGAGGCTTTTCTTTGTTCTACTTCCCAGCAGAAAGCTGCGTCTCTTTTATATGCAGTACATGTGATGAGTGTGATTTGGAAGAGACTGAGCTGCAGGTTAAACATCCTCATATGTGGAGAATACACAATAACATCAGAACAAATGATTACACATCGTCTTTTACACCAAACATAGTTTAAATATCAGTAAAAAGCCTCAAGAGCTGCAAAGTCTTTCTGCAGAACTGTCACCTAAAGATTCAAAGGCATCATTTTCTGATTCCAAAGGTAATAATTTCTGATCTCTGTCTAACCTTAACCCTCTGAAGAGAACCATAGCGGCTTCACCAATACCAGACATGTAGCTCAGCACTGATTTTCTTCTTGGATTTTCCTCCATTTGACTTTTCATAATTACCAGTTTCATGACCTTCTCTGTGTCTCCCTTCTCCTTCATCTTCTCAATCAGGAAGTCCAGGTGGACCTGAATCTCCAGTGAAACACCCTTCAGGGCGATCTCCTCCAGTTTGACAACATGTTGGAAACACTCTTCCAGAAACTGATCTTTATCCTTCTGGAGCTCTGTCATGTTCTCCTGGAGAGTTTCCAAGAGACTCCCTGACTTCTCACTGTCTTTTTTACCCTTCTCATACATGTCTTTCATCTGTTGTATGTCCTTCTTAACTCTCCTGGTCTTGTTCATATATTTCCAGTGTGTTTTCAGATGATCTGGATCACTGCACTCATCCTCACATACAGTGCATTGTTTTTCTTTCACATGTTTGGATACATGACACTTCCCAGTACATGCTGTGCAGTAGAGCTCCTTCTTATGGTCTGATATTTCACACTTTGTCTGGCATATTGTGCATTTATTTTGCATGACCTCACAGTTACTTGGATCCAGGGCCAGTGTGCATGGATAGTGACAGTTCTCCTTACAGTCTTTACAGCAGGTAGCTCCTCCATAGTTGAACCACATCGCCCACCATCGTTTCTCATCGACAGGTTCTTTACCTTTATAGACTTCATCAACTTCTATTGTGAAGTCCTCGTTATTCTTCATGTCTTGTTCGTGTTTCTTCAGAGCTTCCTGAGTCTGTTTGATCTCTCTCTGTTTCAGTTCAATGAACTGAACTCTCTCCTGCAGGTTTTCGATGCAGGCTGTCAGTCTGATGCGTGAATTCAAAACTTCAACTGTTTCTTTCAGGTTCTGTGGTTTGGTATTTTTCAGGAAATCTGCGAATCGACCAATTTCTTCGTCTGTTGATTCCCATGCATACTTTAGAGCATGCTCATTTCTCTTATTTCTCTCTGTTTTCTGGATGTTATTAAACATGAAATGAACAGGCTGATCCAGCTCATCTTTCGCAATGCACATTTTCGCATCTTTCAGAGATTGTAGAACATTTTCAGCTGACACAAAATCTGAATATGTGATGAGGGCAACGATGTTCTTCTCTATGTCTTTTCCAAACAGAGACACCACTGAATCAAAGACGTACATCAGTCGGTCACTCAGTCGATTGTCAGTCGCTTTTAGCACCAGACACACTGCATCGATCTCATGAACTCCATCTGTTGAGCGGAACAAGTCCAACAATCTTTCTCTGACAAGGACATCTCTCTCAATCCCTCTGGTATCTCCAAACCCGGGGGTATCGATGATGGTCAGAGAGAAGGGCAGAGTTCTGTCTTCAAGACCAAAGACCTCGTACACGATCACGTCTGACGTCTGACTTTCTGTTTGACATGTGTTCTCGTCTGTTATAATCTGATTCCAGACATTGTCCTCATACTTCACTTCCATGGCGTAGTTAACCAGAGCGTTGATCAGAGTGGATTTTCCTGCGACTGTTTCACCAACAAGCAAGATGGTTTTGTTCTTCTTTGTTGGATCTTTTTCACCGAGAGTCAGTCTTGTTATTGAGCCAATTTTCCCTTCTTTCATATCTAGCTGATTGACAGCTGGAGAAACTGGCTGGATATCAACTGTGTCATTGATTTTACATCTGGATGAGGTGTTCCTGTAGAAAAGTAAAGACATTGGCTCAAAAACTACTGAATGTAGAATTAAACAAGTACCACCTCACAGAGAAGCAGTGACACAGAGCCGGAGATCTGCTTCTAATGACCTGATAACCATCTTCACTTTCTAATGACTGCTTTTCAAATGTTTTTAAATGTCATGCTATCGTGTGATCCCGCTGCACTATTATTAAATGATCTTGATGTTTTTCATTTCTGTAAAGCACTTTGAATGACTTTGTGTTGAAAGGTGCTAATTAAATAAAATCACCTTACCTTGCCTTCCCTATGTCTGTATACCTAAATCCACCAAACATTCTCCAATAGGAATATTTGGCACGGATGCAATATTTTTTGGTAATAAAGAGTGTAACCAGACGCCTCTGAGACTGTTTGTTGGTAAAAACAATGTGTAGTAATATAATAATATGATAATGTAGAAAGTAACATGTAGAAAGTGCATCACCCCCTAGACTGTCAATCAAGCACCAACCCCTCTCACCCATGCTATAAAACTCCTCCCTTCATGCCTGTGACCTCCTTCCTTCACTACTAATGCTGCAGGCGGAAACCCAAAGTGTGTTTGAACATGGACTTTCAGTCCTAATGACACATGTGGTTATAATATTCAGTTTTGTATTTGTCATGCTCGATTCCTATTTATTTCCCTATTTCGTGAGGAAAATCAAAAAGGTGGGTGTAAAAATCAGTGCTTGAATTGGGCCGGTACTCACCGGTACGCAGTACCGGCACTTCTGATTTTTACCCATGTGGTACCGGCACTTCTTACTGAGTACCGGCAAGGTGTCGATACTCAGTAAGATGCCGGTACTCAGCCGGCATCTTATGTCATGATGCATGACAACAAATATGCCCAGCGTAGATGCACCAGATGCGTCATGCGTCATGAGATGCCGCCGGTTGTCGCCGGACAAGGAGCCGACTGCTAATACAGAAATGCTGTGCCAGTGTTAGAAATGTTGTCTGACGGGGAGCCTTCTCTGGTCGAGCCTCCTGCTCCAAGTTCTGTAGCACTAGCTCCCACAGAGCCTTCTCTCCCGTCTCTCATTGATTCCCTCTCTCCTTTCCTGCTGAAAGATGGTGAGTGTACTCAGGGACGAGGAGTCATTTAACCAGCCGCCAAAGAGTCAGGCTTTACTTTCTTTTATATCCATAAAGAAAAAGTAAATCTGTTTACAGTTCTGTTTCATATGGATGTTGAGAGGTATCCATAGATCTCTTCACTTTGCTCTCAAAGTGCACCAGATTGATGCATTTAACTTCAATATTTAAAAAAAATCTTCCCGGGGGAGCATGCCCCCGGACCCCTCTAGAGGAGGTTTGGTCCACTCCCCACTTATAAAATAGCACTTTACCACCCTCTAATCTCAGATGCACCCTGAGTCATTTTGTTTAAGTACAGTGAGCCTTTCTAAAATATACAGTAAAGAGACAAACCCACCAGCATTATAGGATATATGACTTTGAGCCAAATACTTGTTTTTGGGCTGTATAAATAAATTGACTTGAAACAGTTGCTGATTTAGAGTAGGCCTACTGGCACCTTTTTTATTCCAATTCAAGCACTGGTAAAAATAAATATAAAAACATAAAAGTAGTGTAGCTTAGCAAGTGACTTAAGTAAAATGTACCTTTTTAGAAATATTATGTTGATGATGTTGGAGGACCTGAAACCATGCCGTCAATATGTATTGCTTTTTCAATAATAATGTAGTGAGGTATTAAAGCAGCACTTCATTCTGTTGTTTTAGAAACGTTAGTAATACTCACATTGCCATGTTGACTGGTTCACAGGAGCTTCAGAAGGGAGCACCCAAAGGGTTTTCTGGATGGAGGAAAGAGAAGTGAGTAACCTACAGATCTTCAAATCTTCCACAGGGAAAGTTTTGACTTTGTAACTTTGTAACAACATAGAACCTTTGTGTCTCAGTTTGTGACCCGCTACATATATCACTAACGCCAAACCCGAGAGACTGTTTAGGAAATAATGTTATTTATATGTGGATCAAACTATGCCAGTCTGGAGGGCTGGCTAAAAAGAACAACAACATAAAGGAAATCTTGGCCAGCCAAACCAAAGGGGCCACGGGATAACGGTCAGGATAGGGTTAATGAAGTAACACAAGTAGAAAGTAATGAGCTGCCAGAGGACGGTAGTAAATAGTATATGTACTAGTATATAAGTATATGTGGCACAGTGTTGTATTACAACATTGTTTTACAGGTATTTGGTAGTACAAAAAGAATAAGCAGCCAGTAGTAGAATTTTAACATAGTATATATTGCACAACAGTGTTACAACTGAGATACCCTCGAAATCTAAAACGAGAAAATAAAAACCCCAAAAACATAGATATGGTGTATATTTTCATAACCATTTAAATGTGTTTCATGGTCATGTATTACTTGCATTACTTCAAAATGCGAGAAAAAAGTCTGACTTTTCTCTAAATTTCGAGCTTTTGAAAGTCCACATTTCTTTAGATTCAAGCTATTAAAATGTAACATAACACGGAGCGTAACAACCTCCATGTAAGTGCACAGTCAAACACACAGTTGGATAAAAGTAAACCTTAAAAGGCTGAATGTAAATATAGACAGCTGTCATATTTTGACTGGCTTTAAAAAAAAAAGTCATTCTGAATTCTGCAATTTTTTTGAATTCTTAAAGTCAAACACTTTTTCTCAGAATTCTGACTAAAGAGTTCTTACCTGTGCTGTTGATCTCTGAAGATGAGGAGGCGGAGAGCACAAAGCGTTTTTAAATACCAGTTGGTGGGTGGGGGGGGGGGCTGCTCTTTGGTCACATGATTTCCCAGAAACATCTCAGATACAAACCGATGAGTCATCATGTAAACTGAACTGTCTTGAATACCAATTGTTTTAGATCTTATGTCATCAGAACCTATTCATCCATCTGAAGTTGTTGTAGAAATAGTTAGCAATGAACATCTTAGCTCCCAGGCTGCTCCAACAGGGAAACATACAATATACTTAACATAAAAGGAAATTAATCAAGTGCAACAAAATAGTGAAATTGAAATAATAGAGTTAGTAAGTTGCAGGAATTAAAAGAAATAGACAAACATGGAACAAGATCAAACTGGATGAAAATATACAATATACAGTAGAATAAATACTGTATACTGTAATAATATATAAATATGTGAGAGATATACACACCTACCTAAAAACTGATAAAACATTGTGTTGTGGGTCTTGGAGCCTGTAATAAATACATAAATAAAGCAGCGACTGTATTCGCCATGACACAGACAGTCTGTGGTTTGTTCATGTTTAACTTATGTCTAGTTTCTGAACAGATATGAGGAGCTGTGAGCTCTGTGTGCTAACAGCTAACGGCTGATGTTTTGGTTTTCTGATTCAACGCCAGTGACGGCAGGCTGAAATCCTCGCGGCTGATTGGCTACCGTGCGAACGCGTCACGCGAATTTGATGCTCGAACTCTCGCGGTTGTCGTGGCCCCCTCCAACTGCCCCCGAAGTCCCTGGAGAAGGAGTTTCAGGTGACTTTTGCTTGAGCGGTGATGCTGTACAAGGACTGTAGCAACCCCAAGTTGGTCCAGTTAGGTGTTGAAGTAAAAACCACAGCTTGAAGCACAACCAGGTTCTGAAACCCATTCCAAACAAAAACATTGTCATGTTGCGACTGATAGTGCCATTGGAGGACTGCCCAAAGTCTTATGGTATTTACTATTACACTCTATAATCCTTTAAAGGGCGTGGTTATAAGGAAGCGTTGCATGTCAACGGGTGTTTTACCCAAACGCTTGATTTGGTTTACACCTCTGACACATATACTAATCAAGTACACTACCACTGTGTCTCTTTTTGGCATTTTGTGTCTCTTTGTCAACATTGTGTGTCTCTTTGAAGTCATTGCGGGTGTCTTTGCAATATTTGTGTGCTTCTTGTTGATCACTGTAAGTCTCTTTGTGATGATTGTGTTTCCTCTGTGTTATCCTAGTACTGCATATTCTCAGCGCTTCTTGTTCCAAAGTGCTTTTAATTGTGTTGTTGGCATGTGAAGATGCCAGAAGACAGGAAGCACTTATCAAATACCAGTGGAGGGGGGAGCTGCCTTTGGTCACATGATTTCCCAGAAACAGTCTCGGAGACAAACTGCTGAGTCAATTCATAAACTGCATTGTCTTAAATAAATTAGTTTAAAATGGAATTCAAAATGCAAAGGTTTTAATGGCATATGCACATAAGCTACAGTGTTGGAATGGCAATGAAAATATGAAAGGTCCCTCATTATACAGTTTTTCATCAATATAGTCTCAGATATATACAGAACATGTCTCTGAAGTGTTTGGCTCGAAATACCAAACACATCACAGATGAAAATAACCAGCCACTCCCCACGCCCCTCTGAGAGATATTTGGTTAAAAAGAACACAATGGTCAAGCCAGTCTCACGGCATTTCGTGTTATAGTCACGAAATGTATTTCATCTATTGATTCTTTTTCACCAACACGATTTTCGCATTTTTTTGGTGTCACACAGAACGATTTTAAAAGCAATGTATTTCTATTGGTAGTATGTTTCGTGCCTGCACCACGTCTTTTTGTCCGGTCGGGTCTTGGAAGACCAGAAGCTGTGTGGTTCATAAAAATATGTTCTTACTCAATATCTTACCCTAAGCCTAACCCTAACCCTTTTATTTTAAATTGTATAATGTCGGAGTTTTTTTGCCGTCCGCGAGGAAAATAAATGGCTCAGAGCCTCAGAATACTGAAATCTGTATTTTTTTAAATGTCTTTTTCCTTCTAATTTGTTATTATTTACATTGCTTTTACAATCGTTCTGTGTGACACGATCAAAATGGGGAAATCATGTTGGTGAACACGAATCAATAGATTATATAACTATAACACGAAATGCCGTGAGACTGTGTTACAATGGTGCTCTAGGAGGAGATTCAGGTGATAAGGTTACCTTGGTTGGTGATTGGCTAATGGTTAACGGCCAAAAGATATTTATGACATCATTGTGGCCAAAATCTGGACAAAAAGTGAGCGAATCTCTTTACACAGAGCGGACACATGTTTATGTAGAAAATACATGAAAATGTCAGGGATGGGGAAAATCAGGACCCAGGCAGTTTAAAAAGACAAAAAGGTCAGGTATCAAAAAACAAGCTTTATTAACATTAACAAAAACCGGGGAGCAGGACAGACAGGAACAGACTATCAGAAGGGAACAGGCAGGTAACACGGACAAGGAAGACGAGCAGGTAACATGGACCAACATGGAGTGAGACATGAAAGACGATGATCAGACAAGTAGCACAGGGGAAGACAAGACTAAATACATAGCTGGGTAATCACAGGACAAGACACAGCTGGGCAGGGGAGGCAGAAACACAAGGGCAACAGGTGAACACAATCAGACAATCAGACACAGGAGGGCAAACACAGGAAGGAAGACAAGACACAGGGAGAACAGAATTTCAAAATAAACCCATAACTACCTCATATCAATCATGTAAAAGCAAAACTGGGGAAAGCAAGACACATTCTGGACTACAAATCATGATATACTCTGTTTAATACACTCATATGGCCATATCTGAGTTACTGTGGGGAGATTTGGGGAAACACAAAACCAACCTACAGCCGTTATGCACATTACAAAAAAGGGCTATAAGAGTAATCAATAATGTTGGATATCTTGAACTCACTCATTCATTATTCTTGAAGTCACACACACTGAAGTTTACTGATCTGGTTACATTTCAAACTGTTTGAAATAAAGATGGAAATGAAATGAACTAAACACACAAAACTAAAATCATGATAGAAAAAGTGGATTTTGCACAATAGGTGGCCTTTAAGTCCCGAGCTCCTCCAACAATGCAACATAGTTATATAAGACATACAACAAATACAAATAAATGCAAGCAGAAATCTATATACACGTAAATATAATATACAAGAACAGAATGTAAAGATAGATATTGTACAGTAAGGTTACATTAAATACTTATTTTTACAGTGATAGCTATTAAGATAAAGAAATTGTAAGATGCAAACAGATGAATGTTTATCCAGGCACTTGACAGAGTTCAGGTGTTTAATAGTCTTCTGGCCTGTGGAATGAAACTGTCCCTGAGTCTGGTGGTTTTATCCTGATGCTGCGGTACCGCCTGCCAGACCGCAGCAGACAGAACAGTTTGTATCTGGGGTGATGGGGGTCTTTTATAATCCTGTGGGCTTTCTTCCTGAGATAGATAGATAAGTACTTTATTGATCCCAATTTGGGACCTTTTTGCGTTGCAGCAGCATACAAAACAAGGCAATGTACATAAGAGAAATTAAAACACAAGAAATAAACAGGCCAAAATACTTCTGAAATAGAAATAAAATGGCATTAAAAAAATATATATACATGTGGAAATACACATTTCCAGTAAAAAATATAATGCAGGATATTATTGTGCAAGAAATGGATTATTCAATATTAAATTGAATATAAAGGTAAAATGTACAGTGTGAGTTTAAGTCCAGTTATCAAGAGAAGCTGTGGAGCAGAGAGTTCTCTTCCAGCCAGAGGTGATCTGTTATAGAGAGTTATTGCAGTGGGAAGGAATGCTTTCCTGTATCGTGTATCGGTCCTGGTATTCTCCTGCTGCAGTCTGTTGGAGAAGGAGCTCCGCTGTCTGTCCAGCTGCAGGTGGAGAGAGGGGGGGGGGGGTTATCTATCTGTCCAGCTGCAGGTGGAGAGAGGGGGGGGGGTTATCTATCTGTCCAGCTGCAGGTGAGAGAGGGGGGGGGGTTATCTATCTGTCCAGCTGCAGGTGGAGAGGGGGGGGGGTTATCTATCTGTCCAGCTGCAGGTGGAGAGGGGGGGGGGTTATCTGTCTGTCCAGCTGCAGGTGGAGAGGGGGGGGGGGGTTATCTGTCTGTCCAGCTGCAGGTGGAGAGGGGGGGGGGTTATCTATCTGTCCAGCTGCAGGTGGAGAGGGGGGGGTTATCTGTCTGTCCAGCTGCAGGTGGAGAGAGGGGGGGGGGGTTATCTGTCTGTCCAGCTGCAGGTGGAGAGAGGGGGGGGGGTTATCTATCTGTCCAGCTGCAGGTGGAGAGGGGGGGGGGGTTATCTGTCTGTCCAGCTGCAGGTGGAGAGAGGGGGGGGGGGTTATCTATCTGTCCAGCTGCAGGTGGAGAGGGGGGGGGGTTATCTGTCTGTCCAGCTGCAGGTGGAGAGGGGGGGGGGTTATCTATCTGTCCAGCTGCAGGTGGAGAGAGGGGGGGGTTATCTATCTGTCCAGCTGCAGGTGGAGAGGGGGGGGGTTATCTGTCTGTCCAGCTGCAGGTGGAGAGAGGGGGGGGTTATCTATTTGTCCAGCTGCAGGTGGAGAGGGGGGGGGGGTTATCTATCTGTCCAGCTGCAGGTGGAGAGGGGGGGGGGGTTATCTATCTGTCCAGCTGCAGGTGGAGAGGGGGGGGTTATCTGTCTGTCCAGCTGCAGGTGGAGAGGGGGGGGGGGGTTATCTATCTGTCCAGCTGCAGGTGGAGAGGGGGGGGGTTATCTGTCTGTCCAGCTGCAGGTGGAGAGAGGGGGGGGTTATCTATCTGTCCAGCTGCAGGTGGAGAGGGCGGGGGGGGGGTTATCTATCTGTCCAGCTGCAAGTGGAGAGGGGGGGGATAATTGTCTGTCCAGCTGCAGGTGGAGAGGGGGGGGGTTATCTGTCTGTCCAGCTGCAGGTGGAGAGGGGGGGGGGGTTATCTATCTGTCCAGCTGCAAGTGGAGAGGGGGGGGATAATTGTCTGTCCA